ATTCACCCACCCATCTATTCACCCATCCACCTACTCATCCATCCACCCATTCATCCACCTACCCACCCACCTACCCACCCATCCAGCCAGCTAGCCACCCATCTATTCTCCTACCAATTCATCTACCTACCTATCCATCCACCCAACCACCCACCCACCTATCCATCCTACAATCCACCCACCAATCCATTGACCTAACCCATCCACCTATCCAGCCACCTACCCATCCATCCCTCCCTCCCTCCATCCATGCAAGAACTAATTATTTGTTTTGACTTGTCAGGAATGGAAAAATCCCTGATCATGACATTGAACAGCTTGCTAGATTCCTGTCTTCTCTTAAAGAGGAACAAATCGCTAAAGGAAAGCAAGCATGTAGGGGTCCATTTCTAGCACAACTGGAAGTGGAAAAACTTTTTAATGAAGAAAAGCTTAAAGATACAAGACAAGGTTAGTTTAGTTAATTTACAACCAACCATTTTTTTCTGCCATTAAGTGTGTTAAGGTCGGTTTAGACAGTACGATTTTCACCTACAACTATCGTATACAACACGCTCTCATCTGTCGTAGGCGAGTTGTAGGCTTGATTTACATGCTACAACTCGAGTTGTAGGATGGCAAGAGCATGTTGTATACGAAAGTTGTAGGCGAAAATCGTATCGTCTAAACTGGACTTTACAGTAGTTGCAAGGAAACCATTGCAGGCCATTACCTCAGGAAATGGATCTTGAGGTGATGGCTTCACTCCCTCCGTGAGTGACACAAGATAGATTTCACATTTTAGTGCTTTTCTTATTTCATCCACTTTTAATTTAATATGTAATTGTTAGAAATAAGCTTTCTTGAGCTCTGTTGTGATGGTCCCATGCTGTGATACAACAGCAAAGCTTAATAGAATACCGTCAGTAATTCCTTGCACTAATGAGTCATGTCATGTCATGTGATGTTTGATTTCTTGACAGATTCCAAAGCACTTTCTGAATTACTTGTGGAATATTTTGAGAGATTTGGTGACAAAAACTGCTTATTCCATGATCTCACTCCTTATTTATATCTCCTAAACAAAGGTCAACAAGAACAGGTAATAACATAGTTGCAATAAGTACTTCCAGGCGTACAAATAATGGCCAGTCAATTAAAATGGGCATTTTTCTTTTCAAATACCTTTTAGGCCAGTCTCCTTGATATATGTTAGTTAGTGGGATGTGACTAGTCGTCATGTCTTGCCATTTAGCACTGCTGATTTCCTTCAGTAGAATACTTTATTTTAGAATGATTGACCACATTGGTGGATTTGATTGGGTGCGCAATGTTAAGGGAGAGGAGTAAAGGTATCTGGCATGTCTTGAATAAAGTTGGACCTACTGTACAAGTAGGTAGTGCACTCCCCCAAAAATAAATTGTATTATAAATGAGCACCAAGGTTCTGAACTAACTAACCTCATGGGATTTGTAGAGTGTCAGCAGGCTGACATTGCATCACTCCATCTCTTCATCCCGATATCCACATTATATATAAATAAAGTAAGGTACATTAACCAATTTGTTATTTTCTTTTCTATAGTTCGTAGAGGTTTTAAAGAAGAATTTACAAGGTGTATCTGACGATGACCCACAATCAAATCATGTGAGTTTCATTGTGGAATCAATTTTCATTGCAATTTCAAAATACCTGTAATGTTTTGGTGCGAATCAAGGGTGGTGCCTCACATGTGGGTAGTGTTTGTTGGTATGTCCCTTGATTTGAGGGTTTTTTAGAGGCTCCCCAATTTTTCTCCTTCTGCACAATCTAAATTGCAATTCAATCTGTGAGTTAGCCATGCCCTGACTTAGATCAGCCCAGAAGTTGTTTCAGGGTTCTATCTGTGAGTTAGCCATGCCCTGAC